TAAAACGGGTTAATACTGGCGCTGTTTTGCAATCCTTTTTTATTCACTGGACAACTAGGGAATGGTTCAGATAAGCCATAGTCCAAGGCAAGCTATTGTGTCATCAAAGAATAACGTTTGATCTTAGTGTACTTCTTTTGAGCTGCTCAGTGTGTTTTGTGGTTGCCAGAATCTGGCTCTGAAACTTGTTGGTAAGGTCGGAGAATTTTGATAAGGTTGAAGACATCTGATTCTTTGTATGTATGTGAGTGTTCCTCCTTCCAATGTTGGCCAGCCTTGGGTGCTGCTTTAGTGGTTAAAGTTGGTGATGCTGGAGGTGCTGATTTGTGGCCAAGTCACAGAAAGGGTTGGACTTTTGCCAGTGAGTTGCCAAGAGAGTAGTTTAAGTAATCTTTTTTTTTACTTTCTTCTTAAAAATGAGAAAAACAGCTGTCAGCAATAATTTTCCCCAATTTATCTCTTGCAGAGAACCTAGTTGCATGCCACAGTTCAGCTCCTGGTTTCCGGGAGTGGTGGAAGCCTTATGTTATTGCTTCCTGGATTTCGAGGTAGTCCTTGGTGTTTGTTGTAATCGTTTTGTGTTTTTCTAAGCAAAATGATTTACTGTAAACAAATCATTAAGACTAATACTTTTTTGGACAAGTTGACACAAGTTATTATTATCCAGCTGACCATTGAATCATCATGAATGGCAATTAACACAGCCTTGAACATACTCTTTTTCTGTGAACCCAGTGATTTCAGTTCCCAGATTCTGAATCAGTAGGGCTTAGGTGGGGCCTAGGAATTTACATTTCTGTCCAGATGCCGATCTGGGGACTAGGGAAGCACATTCTGATAAGTGCTCAAGGTTCTAGACTCTTAAGGAGCTTTATGTCTGAAATGAAATTCTGTGACTACGGGCCTTCTTACACAGTCTAGGTCACAGTGTCATATCGCTCTGGTCAGAAAAGAATGTTAGCAGATGGCTTTTCATGAGTGCCATGCAGCATATGGGCAGCAGAGGTGGGTAGCTGTTTGGGACATAAAGCCATTGTACACAGCCTATTCTGTGTAGCCTGTTAAATTGGCTGAGCTGAATTCATCCAGCCTGCTGAGTGAATGACCCCGAGTATGTTGTGTTCTACCCTTGGATCTTTCTAGACATGTTTGAAAGCCGAGATAAACAGCATTACCAGTATTATCATAGAACATTAACAAACTGACAAATGCCAAAAAGAGTAAAATTTGTGTCATAGCATCTAGAATATGAACTTGAGTCATGTAGTTTACCAGGATAGAATCCTGGTGTAAAATTGGCCCTTGTATCAAATGGGGATTTTAATTTTAGTCTTTGACAGAGTTCGTGTCAGTCCTTTGGAGAATAAGTGCTAAAATAATGTTTCACCAGGAAACTTGCAGGAACGTGGCAAGGGCCCCACACAGCCTTGAGTGTCTTTACCAAATTACAGCTGTCTTGAATCATCACTGAGATAGAAATAACGTTTCATGCAAGCCTTGGTCCGAATGTGTTTTTGATATCTGCAGATGAAAGGCCTCTTGGAAGAGACTGTTCTTCAATACAATCACAGGGAAGGAACATCCTTTCATGTGTTTATCGGCATTTCTGCTTGCCTAGTGCATTTTCTCATATGTTAAAATGAAAACTGTCCAGTCAGATGATCTACACGTAAGGTATTTTATCAAATCACTCTAGGGAGTCAATGTAGGCCTTTTGACGAGGCATGCATGCAATGAAATGTTTTAATTTTCCATCAAGAGGGCAGGGGTGCTACCAGAGCAGTGGCTTGCAAACCGTCTGACCTATGGGGGCAGGGAGGCCCTGGCGAGTTTACTTTGGTTCTGTTCCACAGACGCTCAGCTACAGTTTTAGAATTGGTTTCCCAATTGTATGGGGTGCAGTCTGCCAAGTCACACACAGAATTGGTTTTCGTGTTCTTCCAGGGTTTGGGGTGATTCACTTCTCTCTAAAGGCCAGGCATGAAGGTGGAGGCGTAGGGAATGAGTGAGAAGGGCTATTAATATAATTCATCTGAAATTTGAAAGGGGTTTCTATTTAGTTAAAGTATTGAGTAAGCAAACAAGGTAGTGTAGGATTAACTAACTTGAAAAAATCTTTTTGAGTGTTTTCACTGAGAATAAATTTTTACTTAGTTTAAGCAGAAATGATACTTAAAATCCAGATGAAATATTAGAGAACAAATAGCCAGTATAATGCTTGACAAATAGCCAGTATAATGCTCGACAAAAGACATCTTAAAAAAATTCTTTTTAAAATATTTGCATGGTGAGAGAATTGGGAAGGTCTGCTTTTTAACTGTCATCCTTGTTTGTATTTATAGGACAGTAGGTTTTCTAAGCTCATTGAGGCCACATGATCTTAGGAGGAAAACAATATTTTAAAAAGAAATAAAGCAATTGCAGACTCAACCTTGTGATTTCACTTTGTATTCGTCTCCCCCACAGCAGGTGAAGTAGTGCATAGGGTACACAAGATTGATTCTACTAGCATTTTCAATTGGACTTTCTCTAAGAAAATCTCTGGTTATTTCCCCTGGGCCTCTTGGTTCTGGTAGCCTCTATTTTCTTTCTTTCTTTTTTTTTTTAAATTTATTTTTTATTGAAGTATAGTTGAATTACAATGTGTTAATTACTGCTCTACAGCAGAGTGACTTGGTTATATATACATACATTCTTTTTCATTTTCTTTTCCATTACGGTTTATCACAGGATATTGAATATAGTTCCCTGTGCTATACAGTAGAACCTTGTTGCTTATTCTATTTTCTTTTCTTTTCTTTTTTTGGCTGCGCTGGGTCTTCGTTGCTGCGCGCGGGCTTTTCTCTAGCTGCGGCGAGCGGGGGCTACTCTTCGTTGCGGTGCATGGGCTTCTCCTCGCAGTGGCTTCTATTGTTGCGGAGCACAGGTTCTAGGCATGCGGGCTTCAGTAGTTGCAGCACGCGGGCTCAGTAGTTGTGGCTCACGGGCTCTAGAGCGCAGTCTCAGTAGTTGAGGCGCACGGGCTTAGTTGCTCCGCGGCGTGTGGGATCTTCCCGGACCAGGGATCGAACCCATGTCCCCTGCATTGGCAGGCAGACTCTTAACCACTGCGCCACCAGGGAAGTCCCTCTATTTTCTTTTTTAAGTTTAAAAAATAATAGTAAAAGGAATTTTTAAAAACAAAGTTTCCCAAAACGATTGGCGTTTTTTCGGGGCAGGGGGTGGGGAGTAGTTTTTATTTTTGGTTTAATGACATCGGTGTTTTACAAAGCTGTCAAAATAGTATAAAATTTCGTGCTTTTTTAAAAATTAAAATTGTACCACAAGTTATTGATGTTTTGAAGTTTTTGAAAATTATCTTGAAGTTAATTTTGATTGTTTAATATTCTGTTGAAATGATGAAATGTAATTTACCAACCCCCACATAAATTGAACCTGGAGGTTGATTTTGATTATTGGTGCATTTGATGGTATAGCAGTGAACATCTTGGTGATTCAGCTTTTATTCTTCTGTTGAAATTTGGGTACACGTTTTAAATTGTTTTTATGATGCTTGACTTTTATATGTTCCTTTAACTTTCACTGAAAGTTTTCTTGATGTGGTTTTTAAAGCTGGGAGCCATCTCTAAATTTACTAGATGGAGAATTGAAAATTATGTGAAGCATAAAAATAACCTTATAACCGAGGACTAACTTTTCAGGTTCTGGTTGTCAGTAGTAATAACAGTTACTTTCGAGGGGAACCTACTATGTGCTAGGTGCTTTATATGTCTCGTTGTCTTCTGGCATTGCAGGCAGTATTCATTAAATTGGGTAAACCAGCTACCAGAACCAGAATAGTACACTTGAGACTAAATTAGTGAACTAAAAATAAATTTGGTTTCTTAACCATAAGATTTGGTTTATTAAATTGTAGGCTAGGCAACAAGTTCTCAAACCACAGAGTACCAGGACTTCGTTTTTTCTGGCATTAACAGAACAGTGGTATTCATGCTGATGGTTCCATTTGTAAACCAGATCATGCCCTGCCTGGCTTTTGAATGCCTGGTAATAATGTGCCTTAATTGCGGGTCAGTGAAGCCAAACTAATTGCTTGTTGGGCACTTGGATTGCCTTTTTAATTTGCTGTATAATGTGGTCCCTACCAGAAATGCACAATATGTTATCTAAATAAAGCTCATTAAAATCATCTTACAAACAACAGAATGCCTGATATCTTGTCCATAATTATGCAAATAAAAGCAAATTGAATGGCATTACCGAGAGCTGTAACTTAGAAGTACTCTTTTAAAAGTGCCTTTGTATCCATTTTGGAAGTATACATAAATGATTGCTATGGTTTATATCCGTGTGATAGGTTTTTTTTTTTTTTAAGCAAGGATTATTTTGCTTTGCGCTCTTAATATGTTTTAAATGGCAGTAATGACATGAGCTTTTGAGACGGTCACTTATTTAAGACCATGCAGTTCACCCAGTAAGATTAGTATTCATCCAATGACTGCATTCAGTTAAAAAAAAAAAAAAAAAAGACATCAGTGACACGTTTTTAGCTCACAAAACACCAATCCATAGGGTTTACCTTTACAGTTGTGGGAACAGTTGTTCATAGGAGGTTAAGATGGTTAGCACTCTGTAGTACTTGTTTTCTCTCAGTTTCTCTGGACCAACAAGGCAGCTCTTTGACTCTTTGATTACTAATTTTTTTCATTTAGCTAATACATATTGAGTAGCTCCTGAGTGCCAGGGGCTGTTGTAGGTGTTGGCGGTACCAGTTTTTTTCTTCTATTTGTGATAAATATTTAGCCCTACAGAAAAATGTGAAGTGAATCTTAAGACCCTTTAAAATGATTTTAGAAATAGGGTAATATAATTAAGAAGCTTCTACAAAAGAATTTAATAGATGCTTATATGTTTATTTTTTTTAGCTAAATAAACATGCCTATATCAGTCTTTTTTTAATAGAAGTTAGTCCATTATCCGTTTTTCTTTTCTTTTGGTAGGCTATTTCTCATGAGAGTCATGGATATCCCCTATCTAAACTTGGAAGGACCAGACTGTAAGTGAATTTTTATTTTCTCGTTGCATCTGCATATTTAAGTGTGTGGTCTGGAAGGGATAACAGGAAAAGTATTACTGAAGAAAGAGCTTTATTCACTTAAAAATAGCCAGTGATTTTGTGGTTGATATGAATAGTATGCTTAAGTTAATGTTACCCTTGGGCCTTGATTAACTCATCTCTTTACTTACATTTTCCAGTTTATACATGAGTGGAATTTTAAAAAAATATGTCTTCTCATCATTACTTCATTTTCACTCAGAACTCTAACTTCGTAATTTTTTATAAATATATATGTAATAGATTTTAAGATGTGCTAGCCATGTCAATAACAGTACATTTTCTATTTTCCAGTTATTTGAGTATGTATATATTTAAGTTTAATGGGTGGATTTTTTTTTTTTTTTCATTGAAAACCTCAGAAAGCCAGTCTATTTGGGAGGTGGTTGCTTCTTCTGATTATTCTTTTCCATTGCTGTTTTCCTAGCCTGGTTTATTTGCCTTAATATATGCCGATAGGCATAGAGAAATGGGTGAACTACACTTTATACTTGATGATAATAATCATTGTAATAATAGTTTGAGTACATACTGTGTTGCACTCCATATTAGACTTACGTTTAAATCTGTCATTCTCACAGCAATTCTATGAGCTGAATATCGTCATCCCCAATTTATAATCATGCGTGGCTGGAGTGGTTAGGTCTCTTGTTTAGAGTTGCACAGTTAAGTGGTGGGTCTGGGATTAGAAAACAAGATTGTGACTCAGGACTGCCTCTGCTCAAACACAGTCCATTTAACTTGGATACTGCGTTATTATTATTATTATTTTAACTAAATAAACATATGGACAACTAGATTAAAAGGAGAAAGTTAAATGTTTAGTGAAACTTCTTGAACAGAGCAGTCTTTTTCTTTTTTTCTTTAAATAATTTTCCCAGGAACTTTATGAGCGAAGATGTTTCTGCATAGAATTGCTAGGGTTCAAATTGTTGTGGGTTCTGTAAAGTATCAGAGCGTGAGGCCTAAGCTCAGATGGCAGTGTCCTTCCAGTCAATCCCAAGAATGCTTTCAGGGGTCATTTGGTAATCATGAGGCATTCATAATGATTCCCCAAGTTAGCCAGGGCTTAGCTTCATCAAAGAACCACTGGTCTGTTGTCCACTTTTCAGCTATTAACCTTTCATCAAAAATTTGTCTTATAGTGCAGCCTAAACGTGATCACGTCCTCCATGTGACATTCCCCAAAGAATGGAAAACGAGTGACCTTTACCAGCTTTTCAGTGCCTTTGGTAAGTAAAGCACAAGTACAGCTGTACTTCTAGGATCCTGCTCCTCTTTTGGTCTAGATGGTCAAAGGTATACAGATGGCTTTAACTTGGGCACAAACAAGGATTAATATGCAAGGTTGTAGTCTCACTCATGGAATTTCTGGAGTTTGGTATGCTGCAGTCTTTGTGCTAATGTGATCTGAGGAACTTTCGCTAGCATCCCACAATAGAGTGCTATTATTAATCCATGGAAAGCAAGATACAGTTACTATGACTGCCCCTTACTGCCAACCATGGGAAATAAGTCTGGGCTAAGGATAAATTGTTTTTAAGATTAAATTCAGAGAGAATGTCTGTTTCATAAGGTCAGGCAGTTGCTGCTTGACATCGAATAGTCCAAGCAGACAAGCACAGATGTTTGAGAGGACCAAGATATGTGATATGTATGAGGTAGGGCGGTTCTTCTGTTACCTTTTTATCAGGTCAGGCGATTAGGTTAAATTGAACAGTCTTCTGATTAGGGTTTATAAAGGCCATTCTGATTGTAAGTCTTCAGCAATGTCTCTTTATTTTAACAAAGTATTTAAGCTATCGTCTTTGGAAATTCGTGAATAAAGTGGAGGCAGCAAAAACCTAAATGTCCAATAATATGAATGTTCAGTGAATGTTTATGTGTCTCCCCAACAGACTAGTATGTAGCCATTTTAAAAAGAGTTGAAGAGTTTGTTAAAAGATGGTAAAGTGTTTATATTTTAACATTTATAGTAAAAAGCAGATATAAAAAGTAAGTGAACGTAGGTATATTTCTGGAAAGTTATCCTAATCTTTTCAGATAGTCTAAATGACTTCTGAAATCCTAGCCCTGCTTTTTTTTTTTTTTTTTGGCTGAGTTGGGTCTTCGTTTTGGTGCGTGGGCTTCTCATTGTGGTGGCTTCTCTTGTTGCAGAGCACAGGCTCTAGGCACGCGGGCTTCAGTAGTTGTGGCACACGGGCTTAGTTGCCCCGCGGCATGTTGGATCTTCCCAGACCAGGGCTCAAACCCGTGTCCCCTGCATTGACAGGTAGATTCTTAGCCACTGTGCCACCAGGGAAGTCCCTAGTCCTGCTTTTTAATTTAAATGCAGGTACAGAAATGCAGTTGAATTTCACAGCTCATTTCTTTGTAAAGCTTTTTATGTTGTTTTCCATTCTGTATTGCTTTTATCCCGATTTAGTCAAACTTTAATTAGCTAAATTAAGCAGAACGCTCTGAGTAGAATTTTTTTCATTTTAATTAAAAAAAGATTAGCTGTGTGATATTGAACAGGTAACCTCTCTGTATCTGTGTTTCCTTCTCGGAGATGATGATGGTGATGATGATACTGCCTATTTCATAGGCATGTCATGAAGATTAAATGAGTAGATCCATGGAAGGCATTCAGAATAGTATGTGGCATATAGTAACTACTTATAAAATGTTAAATATTATTATTTATCTAAAAAACCTACAGGGTAGAGAGGTAAGGAAATAATAGTAAGTAAATTTTATAATTGAGAAAGTCCTGGCACCCCACTGTGCAGCAGGAAGTGAGTTTTTTCCTGTGGTGGAGAAACAAAGCAGTTTTCAAGTATTCCTAGCCTTTGAAAATTTTAGTAGATATTAAAAGATTATTTTCATTGCTAAGTTCTGGTGATGTTTACCCATTTTTTAAAATTCCAGTTTTCTGTATTTTTTTAGGAAGAGTGGTAGCTGATAGATCTCTGCTTTCCCTTGGTTTTCTCAAGCTCCCCGCCCCACTGCTCCTCTCCTGCCTCTCTTCAGGTCTCCTGCATTCCATTCTGTTTGTTTCGCTTTTTTTTTTTTTTTTTTTTTTTGGTTAATTAGTGGCACACATTATTTTTTTTTAATATTTATTTTTTTAAATTTTTGGCTGCATCGGGTCTTAGTTGTGGCACGTGGGATTGTTCATGCAGGCTCTTTGTTGCAGCGTGGGCTTCTCTCTAGTGTGGTGCGCGGGCTTCAGAGTGCATGGGTTCTGTAGTTGTGGCTTGCAGGCTCAGTAGTTGCTGTGTGCAGACTCAGTTGCCCTGTGGCATGTGGGATCTTAGTTCCCTGACCAGGGATTGAACCTATGTCTCCTGCATTGGAAGGCAGATTCTTAACCACTGGACCACCAGGGAAGTCCCGCATTTCACCTTTATTGAGGACTTGTCTCTGTATGTGAAAATCATTTTGTTCCACTATACTGCTTTCTGTCCCTCAGTGTTTTTCTTTTCTCTATTAGTCTGTCTTGGTTTCCTCTCTCTGACGCCATCTTTACCTCGTCCTCCATCCCCTACCTGTTTTCTTTACCTGTTTTCTTTACCTGACCTTGAGATCATCATTGAATTTTTCTTATTTCTTGCTACATTGATTCATTTCATGTTCCCCGTTCATAGTTCTCAGAGTTTGAATCTCTAAAAAGAAATAGTTGTGCTTTTTTTTTTTTTTTTTAGCGTACGTGGTCTCTGATTTTTATTAGTGGTCTTTTTTTTTTTAATATACCAGGTTCATGGATTTTGAGTCTTTTAGTACATGAACGTGGTATATTCCTTCATTTATTTAGGTCTTCATTAGTTTTTGTTTGTTTTTTTATTTTGGCCTGACTGCACGGCTTGCGGGATCTCAGTTCTCTGACCGAGGATTGAACCCAGGCCACGGCAGTGAAAGTGCCAAATCCTAACCACTAGACCACCAGGGAACTCCCTATTAGTGATCTTGATTGGAAAAAAGTCTCCAGCCCTGGCATGAGATTGGGTTGAATGATAAACTGCCTCAGGATTTAATCCAGAAGGATCTTTCTTTTGTTTTTAAAACAATTTTTAAAGCTGCTTCTTTTTTCCTGGTTTGTTGTTTTCTTGAAGTTTTTTTTTAATTTATTTTTGGCTGCATTGGGTCTTCGTTGCTCTGTGCAGGCTTTCTCCAGTTGCGGTGAGCAGGGGCTACTCTTCATTGTGGTGTGCGGGCTTCTCATTGTGGTGGCTTCTCTTTGTTGTGGAGCACGGGCTCTAGGTGCGTGGGCTTCAGTAGTGTGGCACATGGGCTCAGTAGTTGTGGCACATGGGCTTAGTTGCTCTGCGGCATGTGGGATCTTCCCGGACCAGGGCTCCAACCCGTGTTCCCTGCACTGGCAGGCGGATTCTTAATCACTGAGCCACCAGGGAAGCCCCTTTCTTTAAGTTATAACTGAAATAGCTGCAGTGGTAGATTTAAGTTTTAGTTCTCCGTAGTGCTGAGATTTTGATCAAATTTTAAACTAGCACCTCATCTCTCTTTAAATTGATGGATATTCTGAAATATATCAGATGTACAAATGGAATCTGATAGCTATCTAAATGGTTAAATGCTTACTTTTAATTCACTGTTGCAGGTAACATTCAGATATCCTGGATCAATGACACATCAGCATTTGTTTCTCTCAGCCAACCTGAACAAGTACCAATTGGTAAGTCTTTTGGACCTTTGTTTTGTGTATTAATGATAAGTGGGAGCTTGCCCACTTCCCAGTCTAAATGCTGTGGGTTCAGTCAGCTGATTCACAAGCGTTGCTGCCCGGTTTGTTTTGAACTTGTCTCTAAAATAAAGGAAATAATTAGTAAGTATCATGTGTAGATGAGAAAATAAGACAAATGTATTGATTCCTTAGATATACTATATCATATACTTTTTACTTTTCTATTCCTTTCCCGTTGCCCTTTTTCTGAAATGATTCGTATGTTTACTATTTGAGGGTTAGAAATAGCAAATTGAGAGGAATAGGGGACAGACACCAAAAGGTGATCCCTGTATTGACCTGTTTGCCTCTGTACTTTTCCCATTTATTTATAATTTTTTGTGGTTTATTTATTCCATTAAACTTGTGTCACATACTTGTTTTACAAACAAATAAACTGAAAGATATTTTATTTGCTTCTAAATTAGGATTGTAAAAAGGTGGAATGCTACCTCTCTTATTGTTGGACCCTAAATGATTTTGATATTAACCATCACAAAACAGTCTATTTTCATAGGATGAAAAGCTATTGAGTTAAATATTGAAGAAAATATATATTGTTAAGCTGCTTCTTCAGATAGATTTCAAGTTCCCTGGTGCTTAATAATGTAATTTTTCTTTTAATTAAATGAAGTGCCACAGACTAAAACTGTATAACTCTGATAATGTAGCTATATGAGCAATTATATGAAAATTTCTATAAATACACAAATTCAGGTCAGAGTATTTTTGGTATTTAAAAAGAATTATATAACCATTGCAAGAATATATGCTATGTTATAGAAATGAAAAGTTTAGGCTCTGGAGTCATATTACTACACTACCTTTGGTTGTGTGACCTTGGACACGGTATTTAACCCTGATAAGCTTCTGCTTATCTCTATAAACTGAGGATGATGTTATGGATTTTTTAGGGTTATTATGAGGGCTGCATGAGATGATTATGTTTATAAAGCTTGGCATCACTATGAACTTTTATTATGGTTATTTAGCAGTAGATTTCAATGTGAAATGTACTTCAGGAGCTCATGACACCAGGAAAAATGTTGGATCCAGGGTGTGAATGATATTGCTAGTTAAATGTTTTTTAATATTTGCTTATTTTTATGACCCATCCCCCCACAATCCTTAGAAAGACAGTTTACCTGGACTCCAAAGGGATTGAATTATTAGAGAATTAGTGGGGGGGCAGGGACCCTGAGGTTAAGACTGTAGTGAGACTTCGGTGTAGATGAGAGAACACTGAATGTTAACTCCCCACCCGAAATCTCGTCACACCTCACCTGCTCACTCAGTGTCACACTTCAGCTTCCTTGCTGGTCAGTCTCAGGAGCCATGCAGTGGGAGAGAAGGGGATGCGTAGGCTTTGAAGCCACGCTAACACGGGGAGTAGTAACCTACCTCCACCGCCTGTCAGCCATGCATTTTTGGGCATGTTACATAAACTCTATAAGCCTCAGGTTCCTCGTTTGAGTGACGCAGATGATGATAGTTAGTTCCTTTGTGAAATGAGATCATGGATGTTAAGTTCCCAGCAAAGAGCCTGGCACTCCACCAGCAGTGCTTGACAATTGGTAGTAATTATTGAAATACTTGCTTGGCCTCCCTTGCTATGAACAGTAAACATGAGTGTGTGTAAATCAGAAATTTGTAAGACACTAGTGAGTAGTGCTTAGTTGAAAATACAAGCATAATTCCTTGTTTATGTGTGTGAGGTGTCAGAGCTTCTTTTATTATTCCTGTTACACCATATTTGACGTGCAATAATGATTACTCCCTTACTTATTATTGAAAGTGTCTTTCAATAGTACAGTAGCTTTTAAGCTCAGTACTTTATTCAGTGATACCTGAAATCAGGGAGCTACATTTCAGAATCATGTAGGCACAGAAGTCCTCTGATTTGCTTGTTTGCCCATCTTATTCTCTGTTGGATCCTCCTCTCGTGCCTGGCACATGCCGTGGCCTGAGTAGATGTGTGTGTGAACAGGCGATGTGGGGAGTAGGCCAAGATGAAACTGTGACCTTCTTACCTTTTTTCCTCCTAGGTTAAGAAGTTAGATGACTGTTGTCTTTTGATACATGCGGCTGTACTAGTAAAGTCTAATTTTCCATGATAGTCTCTTTTCTGACACAAATGACAACTCTTAACATAAATCCCTGGCAGTGCACGTACTGTGCCTACGGACCTCAGTTTCTTTGCCAGCAGCCATCTTTTACTCAGCCATCCCCCATCCCCAGGGCTTGGCTTCGTCTTACTTGCCTCCTCGTCTCAGCCTAAACAACCGTGTCTTCAGATGTTTTCTCTGGCTCCCTTTGCAGGGGATCAGACCCCGTTCTCTGTGCTAGCCTGGTATCCTTTCTTAATATACCTTGCTTGGTTGTCTTCCCAGATAGACTGAGAGCAGGGACCATATCTCTTGTTTGCCATTGTGTTTTCAGTGCTTAGAGTCGTAATGTCTGATGTTAGTAAGTGTATGTTAAATAGTTGTTGAGCTGAATAAATGACATTCAAGGTGTTAGGACTTAGAAACGCCGTTTTGCACCTGATGGTTGTATCTCATGTCTCTCGCCTTTTGCTGTGATTTCTGAAATTATGCAGATGTTTCCCTGAAAGACAATGTAAAATTTGTTTTTTATAGTGGTAATTTTACCAATGAGAGAGACCCAGGGTATCTAATGTGCCGCAAATCCTATTAATGTTATCTTAAACAAATTACTTATTCATTTCAGCGGAAACAGAGGGCTTGTTAGATCAATAACGTAATGTTGGAAAAATCATTAAATGCCTATTTATATATAGCAGCTTGTAATGGCTTCTTTGGCTTGGTTACAAACTATTTTTTTTTTTTTTTTTTTTTTTTGGTTACAAACTATTTTTGATTTACACTTACGGAGTTGGTTTTTAACTGACACATGCCTTTTTCTTTTGGTAGTGCTAAGTCTAAGCAAGATTTCTTTAAAGCCATTTTCATGAATATGAAAACTCTTTTTCAGGTCTATTGAAATTATTAAAACTCTTTTACTGAGTGCCATTTAGTTCGATTCCTGTTGCGTTTTGTTTGCTGCTGCTGTGAAGATAAAAGAGTCCCTGGTTGCTTTGGGGTTCAGATAGTGAAAACCCATCCAAGCCATATTTTCATATTCTTCCCCTCTGGCTTTTCAGGGAAGGCAGCACGTGGCCAGTGTGGGACTTGATGCCATGGAGGAGATCACTTAGCCTCACCGTTTGAGAATTTTTCTCAGAGTAATCAAATAAGAAATCACCTGTAATGGTCACATCTGAATACCTCAGACACATTTAGGATTTTTATATATCTAATATAGTTTTGTTAAATGGGGAAAAGAGCTCAACAATATTTCAAATGTATTAGCCCTTCCTAGTCATACTCTCAACAGTTAGACATTGTCTTGAGTGTCCTTAGATATATTATAAGGCATTATCTCTCTGCTTGTAAGTTTTATAGAAATAGCTTGAGGAAAATAACCTTTTCATTTGTTTTGAAAAACCGGAGATTAGAGTACACCATGAATACTACAGGAAAATTTTAAAGAGCAAAAATTGATGAAGGCACCTTAGTAGAGGTAAAAACCTATTGGTTATTTTGTAAAGCCAGCCCCAGTTCAGGGAGTTACAGAAATTCCTGATATACTGCCTTAGGAGCTTGTTCAGGATGATTTGTTGGGATGGGGGCAGGTACTTGGCTTCACAGCTTCACTTCAGTCCACAGTATGAGTGTGTTTATATAAAATCATCCTTTTAAAAGCGTAGCTTTTGATTGTGCTGAACAGATAAATATTAGAGTTGTTATACGACTTTTGAGGCGATTATTTGGTACTGGATTTGCTAAAAAGGCTGCTTATTACTTTAAACTTTACCTGTGCTTTTTGTTAGCCTTTTAATGTTTACCAAATCTGTAGTGATAACTGTTTTTCATTCGTGGGATTGATTTGTGTTCTCATTTTTCCTCAGTCACTCTAGCTAGGGGTTCCTGATTTTGTTGCTCTTTTCAAAGAACCAGCTTTTGGCTTACTTCGTTTTTCTCTGTTGTTTGCTGGTGTCTGTTTTGTTGGTTTCTGCTTTTTTGTTTTCTTGGTCTTTTTTTGTTTTTTTTTTTTTACTTGCTTTGGGTTTACTTTGCTCTTCTTTTCCAGTTTCTTGAGGTAGAATGTTATGTGCTTTTTTTGTTTTTAAGTCTTTAAAATTTTTTGAGCCTGGCTTCCTATAGTTTAGCAGTCAGCCCGTGATTGGTCAGGTGTTGTGCTTGAACACCTGGAGCCAGTAAGGCTCTTTGCCAATGAGGTTGAGGAACATTCAGCATCCAACCTTCAAGCAGTTCACAGTCTACCTCAGTTTTCACTTTCGGCCGGATCTCCATTCTCCTGTGTGAGGGCACAAGGCCTCAAGCCCAGCTAACAGTGTGTGTGTAGCTAAGACTCTCTCCCAGTCATTGATTTTGACCTCTTTTTGTTTCTAATACAAGCATTTAAAGCTATAAATTCTCCTGTAAGCACTGTTGCAGGTGCATTCCATCAATTATACGTTGCTTTCATTATCATTAAGTTAGATACGTTTTTCTTTTTTTTTTTTCCAGTACGCGGGCCTCTCCCGTTGTGGAGCACAGGCTCCGGACGCGCAGGCTCAGCGGCCATGGCTCACGGGCCTAGCCGGGATCTTCCCGGACCGGGGCATGAACCCGTGTCCCCTGCATTGGCAGGTGGACTCTCAACCACTGTGCCACCAGGGAAGCCCGATATCAGTCCTTTTAAATGTACTGAAATTTGCTTATGGCCCATAAGATATGACCTATCTTGCTGAATGTACTATGTACACTTGTAAAGAATGTGAATTCTGCAGTATAACGTTTGATCTATCGATATAAATATCACTGTTGTTCAGATATTGTGTCTTTACTGATGTTTTATTTAGCAGTTCTGCCAGTTTTTGAGAGAGG